AGAATGGGCAGAGTGCCTCTCTGGTGAGTTCCTTTGCAGGTGGGCTGGTGCCCCAGCAGGTTCCTGTCACACCGAGCCAGGAGCTGGCTCCCAGAGAGCTGGGTCAGTTCCAGCTCCGCCCTGTGGGGCCCTTGCCAAGGACATGGAGCAGGGACAGCCCCAGGGTGGCACCCGCTGGCCCCCTCCTGGCCACTGGGCAGACACAAAGGCATCGCTTACCCACATGAAAGAACGATTTCATTGTGTCAGAGGTTTACTCTTTTTTTTCTACAATCAACCTTTTAATTTTTTTTTTCTTACATCTTTGACCCTCAAGATCTCCCTACAGTCTTTCCCAGGCTTTTGAACAAACTTTAATTCTTTTTAAACACAAAAATGTATGGGATGACACCTATAAATCTGAGGCTGGTATACAGAGAGCAGTTTTAGGTGCTGCAGAAACATCTTTAAGTTAGAGGAAACAGATCTACAGCTTTCAGTATCTGATTCCAGAGGTAAATGCTTCCAAAAAGAAACATTATCTTTTGCTCTCAGTTAAAAGTTTGCATCCCCTAAGGCTGTACCAGTAAGGGCTGTATTACACATGGTGTAATTGCTATGCCACATATACAATTGTGTGCTTCTCTGCAAATCTTAAGATGGATTAGTGTCTACAGATTCACCTGCCTGCTCAGCAATCCCTCCCCATTTGTCTAATTCACATTATGTCTGGTCTAAATTCATTATCACTCACTCACAGAGGGTGAGGCTTAGGAAAAGCTGTCTAAAATAAACACCAGCCTTGCCTTAGAGCAACTTCTGTTGTTCACTACAGCTGTGTGAACAGTTCGTTTTTCATGTGTACACATACAATCTTGCAAGGCCCTGCCAAAGTTATGGGGTTTAGATTACTCTTATCAAGGCCAGGAAGTGTGCAAAACTGGAACAAAAAGCCAGATATTGCCCCCCAAAATCTTTAAAACCATGCAAGCCAGAGCTACACAAGTAGTTTTCTCTGCAAAGGTCTCTACTTGTGCATATTATCTCTGAACTTGGAGTTTATTAATAAAGTAATTTTAGAAGGACATTTTGTATACTTATTTTCTTAAAACATCAACAGCTTGCTAACTTTCTTAATGCAATTTACATTAGCAAAAACCCTTGCAACCCTAAGAACACACTCTAGTAAAAGCAAACCTGAAATTCCTATTATAAAACACAGAAAGGAAAAGTCATTAGAAAGGAATAAATGTTTGCATTTTTCCATTTTTGTTCATGCATTCAAAAAAAAGTCACCTGTAACGAATTTTTTGCTTTGCTCTACTATTTGCACCAAAGCCCAGCTTTGGACAGGAGGTGGTGCTATAGCCTGTGTATATTTTGCTATTAGGCAACACCAATAGCTAAAGCTCACTAAAAGCAAAAGGATAAGGTAAAAAAAAAAGAGAAACATTCTAAAGCCTCTAGAAGTGCTGGCATGCAGACTTTACTTACAGATGCTTTCATATAAGTAGGTATTCTGTAACAGTGCTAAAAAGTTTTGTAAGAAGGCACTAAAATATTTGTGTCTATCAAGGACTTCAAATACCTAGCAAAACATGATTATCAAAGCATGGAAAAAAACCTGTCATGCACAGCTCTGGGCAAGCTGCAACAGTTTTTATGTGGCCAAGGTTCTGTTGAGCAGCTCTGGGCCATGAGGAAACTGATGGAACAGTGGAAGATTTTTGCAGCTCCAGTGAGAGCATTCTGTCTGCCTCTCCCTGAAGAATGTCAAGGTTAGCTGCAGGGTCAGATTTACTGGGCCAAGATGAAATGCCAAAGCAGGAATGCAAACCCCATGGCTAGGTTAATGCCCTTTCCCCCTCTTTCCTTTCTTCTTTTACTGTCTTTCTCCTCATGCCCATTTAGAAGCACCAAACATGGCATCTTTTCCATGTTGCCCTGTGTCCCTCCCCATTTTCCACCTGTAACTTTACTGGGAGAGCTGTTCTGGATTGCAGTGTGCTTGACAGTGACTAGGATCAGCAGCCAAGCTGAGAGAAAACAATTGTGGAAGACTTCTTTTGCTGTCCTTCTCCTCATGCCCATCTAGAAGCACCAAACATGGCATCTTTTGAAGATTTTTTTCTTGCTGTCCATGCTGGCCTGTGTCTATCCCCATTTTCCGCCTGTAATTTTACTGGGAGAGCTGTTCTGGATTGCAGTGTGCTTGACAGTGACTAGGATCAGCAGCCAAGCTGAGAGAAAACAATTGTGGAAGACTTGTTCCCTTCTGGCTGCACTTCCTCTCCCGTTCTCATCTTTTCTTTGGAACAAAACTAACAAACGACTCCCAGAATGGATCCAAGGGGTATTTTCTAAGAGAGTAGATCTTTCTTTCACATATTCCTTTCTGAAACTTAAAATTATCCATAGCCTGCTAAAGCCAAGAACTAGGTGTCAGACCAAGGCCAACAGCAGATTGTGGGAGAAATTCTTATCTCAGTTACACAAGTCTGGATCTGGAGGAACTCCAGTTATTAAACAATCTATAAAATTAGGATAACAATAAGTATTATTTCAAAAAGGTTTGTGATGGTTAACTACCAGTAATTAATGCTGGTATAGAAATCAGGCAATGGTTGCCTGGAAATGAAAGGCACTATAGAAATTCTAAGTACTCATTATTTCTGCCATTTGCAATTATGCTTTTCAATGTAATCTATTTGTTGTAGTCAGGGTGCCCATCAATGCTCCCTGCAGATCCCAATCTATTGTTCCTGAATAATTCACTGGTCTCAATAACATTAGTTCACATTTAATTGGGGGGGGAAAAAAAACGTTTACCTCTTTCTAGATGCCATTACAGATGAAGGTATAACCAAGATGAAAGTCAAATTTCACAAACATGAGGGAGTGGGTCTGAAGGCAGAATAACTTGAACATATTTCACTTGAAGATCATTCTACGACTGCAAAATGGGATTTAAAAAAATAAATTAAAACCCTTTTACTGAATGGGATTTGTTGAAGCTTTAAGATTATTAATAAATTATAGTAGGAGTTGGACTTCAGTGTAAAATGAGGCTACAATTACTTACCTTTCTAAAGACCTATTGATGCTTGTGATCCTACAACTATATCTTCTTTAAATACTTTTCTATCCTTTATCAAGGAATGTTCCTATAAACAGATTTAAGTAATTACATTCAATCAAATTAACTGTAAATCAGAACTGGATAAAAATCAAGTAAATACTGATTTTTTTCAAAGATATTCCTCTTTTAAAATACATATGTTGAATTTCACCCATTCTAGTGGGAATTACATTAATATATGATAAATTATTTGTTATTACTTAGATGGTGCCAAATGAGCAATGTTACATCACTGTTTTTAAGGTAATACACTTTGGAAAATTGTTTTGTGACAGAATTTTTAAGTGGTCTTTTAAAGCTCAAGGTTTGACTGTAAGATGTCCCTGGATAGGGACACTGAAAAATGTCTATGTTACAAAATACACACCAGAAACACAGAATATTTATAGTACAATATCTAGGTCCACAAAACATGAAACTCTTAGCTGTTCAGGGATTTAGGCTAAGAAGGAGGCTGCAATCAGAGATACAGGAGGGTATAGTTGTGTTTCATGTCCTGTATTTATTCTGATTTCCAGCTGTTGCAAGAACTCGGCACAGAAAGACTGAAACCAGGAACTTCACAGTGGAGCAGAGAACCAAAATTAAAGCTCCCTGCTCAGCAGCTTTGCCATTAACTCCTTCCACAGGAACTTGGGGAGGGCAGGATCTGCCCCTCCAGGCCATGCTGTCCCATCCCCTGGCTCTCTGAAACAGGAGCTCAGTCAGCAGCTGCTTTTGGCTTCCCAGCTGTCCAACTTCCCACTGCTCACACAGGCTCGTGTGGGAGCCAGAGCATCTGGGACTTCACTGCTAGCAGTGCTCAGGAAAGCAACCAGGTGTTCAAAGCAACCTCAGCACTCCTCACAAAGCCACAGAAGCGAGCTCAAGCAAGAACACTGCAAGAGAAAGCAGGCAGATTTTGTCTTGACACACAACTCAAAAATTTTGGTTGCCTCAGACTGCTTACAGACATTATCCTGACAAGTGCAAAACTGCTGAGGAAAAAACCTCTACTTCAGTGTTTGCACTAATTCAATGGAGAAATAAGAGTAGCAAAAGCACTGACTGGGCAAAATTTATTTAATAATTGACTATCTTACTAAAATATATGAAGCTTTTTCTTTTTTGGGTAAAAATTATCTAAATACTTTCTTCTTTCCAGAGGACTCAAAAATTAATAGAAAAAGGTTAACCATGCTACATTTACAGCAGAACATTTTAAATGCAATGAAAAGAATTCTAAGACAGAAATAGAGGGTCCTATTTCATTAGGATCTTACTGGTTTTAATTCCTTTGCATTTCTTTGGCTTTTAGATTAAACAGCACTTTGCACTACACATGCAACATTTGTGAAGAGAACATGTAATACAAACAGCTATTAAATTTAAGGTATAGGTTCTTGTCATACTGGGTGTGATAGAAGCATTAGGAGACAAAAGGTGATGGCGAATACTTTGTTTCTGAACTATGCATGAGTAATTTAGCTGGTTAAGATCTGGTTGGTTATATTTATTACACTCTCAGAGATTAAAGACCATTACGTTCGTAAATACAAATAGAAAGGGCTATAATTGCAATTGGCTAAGGAGATATGTGGTCCTTTGTGCTTACATATTTTGTTAAAGATATAAAAGAAATGCATGCTATTTCTTGCCCACACGAATATTCAGAATTAAGCTACTAACATCAAAGAATTTTTCTGAGTGCAACTGCAGCTTTTGGAGTTCTGTCACACCGGCAGAGCCGCACAGGTGCCTTTTTAGAGCGGACAGAGGATTTATGCAGCACAGCGGTCAGCATCATTCCTGCCCGACCCCAGCCCTCCCTCCCGGGAAGACCGGCAATGTCCGGCCTCGGGGAGCCTGGGACGGCGCGGGATCTGTCCCGCACGGGTCCCTTCGCTGTTCCTGAGCCAGAGCTGCCTCTCTGAACTGCTCTGGCAGCCTGTGCGGAGTGCGAGCCGCGGGGGCGGGCCGGGGAGGGGCACAGCGCTCGGACAGCGGGGCGGCGGCGGGCACTCGCCCCGGGCCCGCGGGAGCAGCGGCACCCATGCCCGGTAAGTGCCGGGGGCGCAGGGAGGGAGGGAGGCAGGGAGGGAGGCAGGGAGGGGGCCCGGCTCCTCCCGCAGCCCGCCAGGGAACGCGCAGCCTGGGACTGCAGGGCGGGCAGCACCGCCCGGAGCGCCCGACAGAGCACAGCCCGGCCCTGGAGACAGGCACAGCAAACTGGAATCTTGCCTCCACTCCCCCTCAATTATTTAATTTATACTGGGGCTTAAGCCCAGTATATTATCAAATAATAAAAATTATTTAATTTATACGTGGGGTTAGGCGGTGTCTTTATATGGGGATCAAAACTTGCGTTGGAGAATGTAAACTTGCGAGCTCATAAACTTGCTCATAAGCCAAAAAGGCTTACTGCAAAGTTTATGTAAAGCTTATTAAAAGCATACAATCACACAGTAAGCAAAAAGGGAAGGAATCCCAGAGGAGACAGAGGATGCCTGTCAACACCTGCTCTATGCTAGGATAAAGCTGGTACCTATTAGCAGGAGACAGTCCCCTGGATCGGTGGGGGGAGATGCAGTGGTCCAACAGGTCTCTTCCATCTGCTCTGCCATGATCCTGTACCACAGCAGGACACAATATATGAATTTGTCATGATGACAGGTAGTTTTTTAAAAGATACATGTTTTCTCCTTGCACACAAAGGATGCAACTTATCTCAGTGGTTGATTTGTGACTAGTGCTACATTGTGCACTAAGCCACTGGTTCTGTTGCTGATCTAATCAGATAAGATGGTTTAAAAGTGAAACAAATTCTCCTTACTCTAATGAAATTACAGGTAACTATGGAAATGAGTAAAACTTTACCTTATATCTACAGCTGTGTAAAGTTAAAAAAACCCCAGAATTTGAGTCTATGCCTATGGGTGTGTCATGAATACTTATCATTCTACAGTGAACAAATTCAGTACAAACTCATTAACTAAGAGACTGGAAACTCCTTCTCTTACTCCAAAATCAATGCACACCTCTTCTTATTGTCTTTAATACTAAATGGTGACAAACTGGCTATAGGGGAACACAAGACTAGCTGCTGAGAGCATCAAAGACTTGTAAATGAAGAGGACAAGTTAAACAAAGACCTGTACAGCTTGCTTGAAATGTTAACCTTTCAGATCCTTATGTTAGACAGTAAAAGAATCAGCCATATAGTTATTTGTATTGTTTATAGTGCACCTACATGAAGGAAACAATTTCTATTATGTTTTTGGACATGAAACTGAAGCATTTTTTTCTGTATTTGGCCTTCTCAGATAAATGTGAGTCTGACTGAAGATATATTTGAGCATGCCCTGCAAAACTAAAAGGAACAAACACACAAAATTCCCATGCTCATATGCATTTCCTCATACTGTGCATTCTTATAAAGGAAAACCAATTTACCTACATGGCACAATTAGATTTGTCTCTGTATTAATATTAACCCACATCAAGCAGGTGCTTGTTTCCTGTTGCTCAGAATAAGGATTGCAGTGATAGCCTGGCTGAATGCTGGACCCTACTCAGTTCACCTACCAGCTGCAGGGACAGCAAAGTGCTGTTGCTGTGGCACAGCCGTGAGCAGGGTGGCTGCTCCGTGGTGGTGCTGGGAGACAGGAGTGACTGTGTGACTCAGGGAAGCAGCCAGCCAATTCCTGCAGAGCCTAAAGCAACACACCTGGAGGGGAGCTGCAAAACCAACTTGGCTCCAGTGACTCCACCAAATGCAGGAAAATGAGTCAAGATCAGATTAAGGCCTTTGAGGCGCTATGGCCAGGTTAATTTATAGCGCAAGGTAATTACTTAAGTGTTCTGTAGCTGAAGGACATTTCATGTCACTTACTGCAACAGAGCCACACTGAAAAAGATCAGCAATATATGTATTTGCAACTCACCTCCCATACTGTTTAAAGCTCAAAGAAATAAACTAAATTAAATGAAAATAGTTTGAAACAATTCAAAACTATTATTTGATAGTCAAAACTATCACTAGTGTTAACTGATTACTTTGTGCCTGTATTGTCTTTATTTCACTTGTACCGTTGTACAGAGATGTCTAAATGTAAAGTACCTACCAAGCACAGTCAGATAAAAACAAAAAGGAATAAAGCATAACCAAGCTAACTCTACCTAAAAGCAGAGAAGAGGGAAAAATTCAGTACCCGTTGTGAGAAAATGCCAGGTCACTTCACTACTTCAGTTTCAGGGGAGACCTTGAGAACTGTCAGCATGTAGCACTCAGCTGCTCCTGAGCTGTCTGCCATGGCTGCAGAGTGGAAGATAGTTCTAGAATTTAGGTACACAGCAAAATAACCTTTGCAGCCTATCACTCCAGCATTCTCAGCAAATATGTGAAAGCAACAAATTGAGCCTATTATCAATTGTCTACCCTTGGTCTAATGAGAAATTCTCACAACAGAATGTCTCATATTCATATTAAATTAATTTATTAGGTTTTATTTGGGTTTTGGTTTGTTCATAGTAATTATAACAAGATTTTGTTGTATGTTAAGTACTCATGGTTCAGGAAACTGTGTTTAATGGATATTTAACTTTGACTTCACAGATCAGGAAACACATGCATCCTTAGAAAGAAAACAACCCATAGCTTTACTTTGTTCCTTGTGGCAGGGTCTAGATTCAATTCAACATAAATGAATAGTTGGAAGAACAAACCAAAGCAAAATAATGGTACCTTTCATATTAGGTGTTCCACGGTTCTCTTTTTCTTCCATTATGTAAGCTCTAGCACTTCTGCCATGCTAAGGTAAATGTTAATGCAAAACAAGAGCCTGAGCAATTCTTTGGCATTTGGGATTTTTCATGTCTGTAGTCTCACATTGCAGCAACTGCCAGTGCTTCTGAATACTGTAATCTGTCACTGCCATTGCCACAAGTCTTCAGGTGCTGAACCATGCTATAACCAAACAAATTGAGCTGAATGCTTCATTTAAAAATAATTTTGGAATGGTTTTTGTTATCTTTAATATTCCTGCCTACACCCAAAATATACTTTGATCCTCTTATGATGTTTTATGTGCTTTTATGTTTGAACAGAACAAGCAGTTGCTGTGGCTGGAGGTATAATAGGAGGGATCCTTTTATTTGTTCTCCTTGGAATAACTGCATATCTACTCTGGAAAAAATTTTGCCGCCTCTTTTCTTATGAAAAGCTCATCAATCCTGTCAAAACAACAAATGCAAATGCCATTTTCCAGGATCAGGCAAATTCTGAAATTCATCTGAAAAGCACAAGGTACCTATTTTCATTTTGTTTTTAAAGCATATGCTATGTAATTTATTTCAACTTGTCAAATGTCAAATGAGCAGGTGATCCAAAAATATGCATGTACAGAAATAAAGGAGATCCCTAAATTATATGAAAACATCAGTCATGTTCTATTTTGTTCCTTTAGGAAAAGGATAATTAACTATGAAAGTAATGATTATTCTTGATTTATTTAAGAGAGAGAATATATTCAAGTGTAATTGGTAAATGGATAGCTTTACCCATTAGAGAAACCCAGCCTATGTTCCAGAGTCATTTCTAGTCTAATAACAAAAATAACAGGACTTCAGTTCAGGAAGGAGACTCTCTAAGAGAATTAATCATTGCAGGGGTTTTAGGCTCTGAAACACACAGCTGCAGTTAATTCTTCCTTTCCTTTGACAGATAAATTCTAAAAGGAAGGAAAGGGGGAAAGAGAAGAATCTGTCAGAAAACCTAATGTGCCTCATTGTCTTTTTATGCATTAAGCAATTGATTTTATTTTTACCTTTGCATATCTGTAAAATTTTTACAGTCTGACATAAGAACAGTAAACTTACTACTCTTATCAAGTTTGATTTCCAGCTTTAAACCAGAAGGTTTCAAGTGCTGTTGTCTTGAGCAGGTCCAGAAGTGTTCCATTTATCATTCCACCAACACTGCATGGGCGAGACTGGATTCACCTGACCAATGAGGAACAGGTTCAGCAAGACAGGGACCCCTTCATGACCCCTCAGTCTGGGCCACGGTCATCATTTCATTCTTTGGGTATGGCATTGCAAAAATGGCACTATTTTTAAGGGTAGGGTGGCTTTACATAATTTATTAGTTTATTAGATACAAAATTTAGTATTATGTATCTTGGGGGCACACCAGAGATTGCATTACACAAGCCCTAAATGCTCCATACATTTATATATTTTATGTATGAGAATTGGGCAAGAATGTAGTAATTTTGGTCCCAGTGCTGTGGTACCTTGCACATTTGGCAGACAAAGCAATCTCTCATATTTTGTAAAGGCCAGGAAGTCTCTGCTGTCCCCAGAAACAGCAGTCACCAGCTGCACACTTCAACAACAAATAGCTAGAACCAGGTACAATCACAGGAGTAAGAGAAATAAAAGTGTGCAGCCTACAATTACTCCCCCAAATTTGAGGGAAAATGAAATAAAATATTAAATTCTTACAAAAAATTGATTGTTAATAAAGAGGGGAATCTGGTTTACCCAAATACAGCAGTGGTTATAAAAATGCCTGCAATGGTTCTTGAGGCTAATCTGAGGGCTCTTGTTTTGCCTTTTCCTGTAGCTGGAGCTTATGTTGTAGGAACCATTAACCCAGATCTGTACAAGTTTCCTGAAGACAAAAGTGAAACAGAGTTTCCTGATGGCAGCATTGGCCGCCTCTGGTTCTCCATAGAATACGAGCAAGAGTCAGAAAGGCTCCTTGTCTCCTTGATCAAAGTCAGAAAGCTGCAGCCTCCTGCTGATTCCTGCAGTTCATTTGTGAAAATCTACCTGCTGCCTGATGAAAGAAGCTACCTGCAGTCCAAAACAAAACGTAAAACTCTTAACCCACAGTTTGATGAAAACTTTGTTTTCCAGGTACTTTTTCTTTTGATGAGGCAGATTTTTGTTTACAAATATTAACTTGTCAAACTACAGTACAAGTTTGTATGTTCACAATGTTTCTACCAAGACAGAAGTTGTTTCCACCAGAGACAGGATTTTTTACTGGGGCTTCTGGAGATCCTGGGCTACAGAAGTGTGTGGCTCCAGAACTGCTCTTACCTCTGGTCTGTACCAAAGTTAAGGGTTCCAGAACTTGCCCTGGGAATAACAAAAACTCCAGTTTGAACTACAGCTGAGCAGTTCAGCCCAGCAGTTCTAGAAGCCCAGAAGGAGCCAATACTGACATAATGCTTTCACAGCTTTTGGCTCCTTTGCTGGGCAAGTAGGCTAGACAGCAGAACCTGGGAGGTATCTCTGGGCTGCTATTTGTACAGTACTGCACAGCTTGGCTTCCCATGCTAACAAGCTTTTTTTTTTGGTTTTAAAGCTTTGTCACAAGACAAAAGCTTTAAAACCAAAAAAAGTTTGAGTTACAGATTCTAAACATTTGAGTCTGACAGTGAATGCATCACACAGCACTAGATCCATGTGAGCTAAAAAAACACCAACTAACTTCATAGCTTTCAAATGAACTTGTATGTTAGCTTGGATCTTGACTTCTGCATAGCTCAAATTTTAAAAGTACTTCAAATAATTAAAGGAAATCTCCACCTAAACTTACCACAGTTTGTAAAATATTTCCTTTGAAGTCATGCTAGAATAGGAAAGTGTCAGATGTTTTATAATTATTAATATTCTTCATTTTCCTGTACAGGTTTCCAGTAAAATGTTGCTCCAAAGGACACTAAAGTTTTTGGTTTATCATGTTGATAAACAGAAGAAGCACCATCTCCTAGGCCAAGTTATCTTTCCACTAAAAAATGAAGCATTAACTGAGGACAACAAACTGGTTATATGGAGAGATCTGGAGAAAGAAATCTTGGAGGTATGTGATACCAGGCTGCTTGGCACTGTGGAACTTCTGTCATCTTACAAGTATTGGAAGGATGTAGCTGAAGTAGAGCTATGTTCTAATTCAAATGCAAGTACCTCAAATGCAAAAGTACTTCATAAACATTTGGAATAGAAATTCCCCTCTTACCAACCTGCAGATCCATAGGTGTTGTAAAGGGAGTACCCAGATGCTTTAAAAAGTTACATGAATTAGGAGGTCGTTACATAAGAACTTTTGTTATTTGCTTCTCTTTTCAATTAGTAAGAGCAGAAAAGAGCAGAAGAGGCAAAGAAATAGATACCCCCTGGAAAAGAGTAATTCTGAGGGTTAGGAAGGCTGATTAATTGGTTCCATCAAATGTTACAAGAGCATAAATAAAGCCATGAAAACTCACTCATACACCTTAGTGAGTATGAGTGAGTTGTAATGGCTTTACATGCTGACAGAAACTATTAGCATGAAAAAAGATTAGTCGTCCCATCTGACCACACAATGAGGGAGTTTTTCAGACATATTTGACAGGTGTTGTTCTGCTTCCAAAGCCTCCTTCAGAGCATGGTGATATCCAGTTCTCCCTGAGCTACAATGACTACCTGGGCCGTCTCACTGTGGTGGTTCTCAGGGCCAGGGGATTAAAGCTCCAGGAGGAGAGCCCTGCTGTTGGTGAGTGGGATTTCCTCCCTGCTATCAGCTCCACAATTCCTGTTTTAATTTGCTCCTTCCTCATCTGTACATCCAGGCTTGTGCTGTGGGACTCTGACAGGAACAAATAAACATCCTGGTGATTTGAATGGAAAAAAGCCATATTTTGCTCTGAGGCAATTAGATTTTGATAGCTTAGTTTTGCTATGTTTGGGGTTTGTTTCATAATAAAAGGTTTGTCCTGTGGCAATTGGTGGAGCAACATCCTTTTGCTGCTCTCCAGCCCAGAGAAGGCAGCATTTCAGGGGATATTGACATGAACAGTTGCCTCAAGTCAAATTCCCAGAGGTAACAGCTGCAGGACAACTGCTTATGCTGAACAGCTGTCCTGGGAGGAACTGAGTTGGGAGAAAAAAATCCCAGTTTAGGGCAGCCTGGCTGTTGTACAAAGGACCATGGCATGGAGTCACAATTTTCTTCCTTAGTGCAGAGGGTTTCTTCTGGTACATTATACTCGCGTTTCCCTGGTCTGAGAGATTACCTCAAAATGCTCTTTAAATCCAACATTCAAAAGCAAAAACAGATGAAGAACCAAACTTGTATTTCAGTCTGTAGTGATTTCTTGCAGGGCTTTGAAGCTAAACAATATAAATGCAAAAAACAGCTACCATTAAAAAAAAAAGCAGCTTAGTCCTCTATATACACACATCACTATGAAGTTTTTTTTTTGACTGAACAAATTAAGCCTTCAAAAAATTCTCCACAAGATGAAAGAAAGGCACAGAAACATAAGATCAAGGATGCAGGGTAAGAATATGGCTGCTTATTTAGCACTTAAATTGCAAAGTGCACTGCAAAACTGAACCCTCAGTACTTTGTAGGCTCCCTGCTTTATGTCATGCTGTCACATGTTCCATGAATCTTTCACAACCTGATGTTATAATTGATATTGACTCCCAAAAGGAAGAAACTCCTTAAGCCATCTCCCAACTGCTTCTTGAAGATGTCTTTTAGTCTTGAATTTTTTTTCTCCAAGGTGTGTATGTCAAAGTCTCACTAATGAACCATAATAAATTCATCAAAAGTAAAAAGACAGCAGCTCTTCTGGGAACTCCCAATCCTGTGTACAATGAAACCTTCAGTTTCAAGGCAGATCAGACAGAGCTGGATACAGCAAGCCTGAGTCTATCTGTGCTCCAGAGTAACAAAGGAGAAAGTAAGTTATATAAATCATTACAGTCATATAAATTATTACAGTCAAGGTGTCAAATCTCTTACATATTTGAGACATGTTTAAACCTGAGAGGAAGTAATTCCTTTTCAGCAATAATCATAAAACATGTAAGAGTTTTGAGGTATTTCAAAGGCTGTTTCTTTAAAAGAAGAACAACTTATTTGTAGTTAAGCATATGTCTGTCTTTCAGAGGCTAAATTTCATGGAAGACATGAATAAAATCACTGCAGACTGGTCAATGCCAGTACAAGGTGCTGTGCCTTTGTTTCATTCCAGTATCCCATTAAAACAAGCTTATGTGAACACTTATGTGTGTAACACACAGCCCGAAAAACTGTGTGGCTGTTCACTCTAGGCACATTTGAAAGAGGAATAGGTATTTTAATTCTCTCAGCAGTGAGAAAGAAGAAAGATTAGCAAACATCCCCATTCCCTGGCAGAAAACCTGATGCTTGAGGCCACCTCTTACTGTTAGAGAATCCATTAAGGAGTTCTGCTTACAGAAGCAAATCAGAATTCAGTATTTCCACTGCTCACAAGAAAAACATCTCTGCAGTGCAAATATGATCTCAATAATTTTCCCCATTCATAGCTGAAAAATCCAGGCATGAATAAACAATCTGGTCCTTGGCAGTGGCAACACACATATTACAGCTCCCAGCTGGCTCAGCAACTGCATTTATTTTTTGCAAAGCCAGAGCATCATGCGAATCCTACTGAGGTTGCTGATACCCAAAATTAGGGCACACTTCCCCAGTAAACCTGAGGTAAAGGGGTAGGGCAGATACAGATCAGATATTTGTGCCTTGGAGATGTTTTAGTTTAACTGCAGGCAAAAGGACAGGCCTGCATTGACTAAACACCCACTTACTGGATGGGCGTACCTTTTTTAATGCTGAACCTCAGCAGGCAAAAGCTACAAAACCTGAAGTCCAGAGTTATTTCCTTGAGGAATATTTTGTTCTAAAAATACCTTTTAGAACCGGCATTACTTGGAGAAATACATGTTGATATCCTAATATAGGCAAGGATTTCAGAGAAGCATCACAGGTGCTCATCACTAACTGCTTTCTTTTTTCCCAGAAACACTTCTGCTGGGACGAGTAGTAGTTGGGCCTTTCATGTACACACGTGGCAGAGAACTGGAACACTGGAATGAGATGATGAGCAAGCCCAAGGAGCTGGTCAAACGATGGCATGCTCTCTGCCACAGCACATGAACAGCACTGAGAAAAAAAACCTTAACATGGAAAAGCTCTTACTGTCTTTCTCACCTAAATGGTACAAAAATCTTTGCTAAGATTTTGTACCCGAAGAAGAATAAAGTAAATTATTTCCTTGACCAAACACAAATAAAAGATTTGGTTCCTGGTAGGCTGGGAGTCCCTCTTTCCTCTCTTCAAAATAGATGTTAAATTTATTTAACATGTAGCTGAGCAAAAAAAAAAAAAAATCAGCCAAACATGACCTCTCAGTATTAATTATTTTCACTGGTAAATTCCACTTCCTGCTTATGAGTTCTGGGCACAAATGATCACACATGCAGACAGAGCCCAAAATGACCCAAGAACTGCCAGTGATGACACCAGGCCTATCTGCCTACTGCTCCATATCACCACAGTGGCTTCACCAAAGGCAAGAGAAACCCAATGAGCATGCCAAAAAACACACAAAGCCCAAAAGACACTGACTAATACATGTAGGACTTGTTCAAAAGAGCAGCATTGTATTTAAGCCCTCTTTTGAACAGGAAGGGTGAAGGCACTGCTCACTGGTGACACACCTGGAAGCAGCTGTTCACATCCCTCAGCATGGTGTATTTCCTGCAGGAACTCAGTTCCATGCTTTCAGCTGACCTCAACTACAGCACTTTGTGTTAAAAATAAGGGACAAGTAAAGAAGTCCCAGAGTCACAAGTGACTGGAGGCTATTCCAGTACTGAAGTACTCTGAGACAGTAAGATGAAGACATGTCCTGTCCTTTAATATTTCTCTCTAAACACATCTCTGCTGGAGACAAAGCATTGATTACAAGAGCCTTGGGTTTGACCCAGTATGACCATTCTTACACTGAAAATCCAATTAGCTTAAGCCCCCTGGGCATGTGTCTGTTTTAGTAGTAGAGTCCTCTTCATTAAGTAAATTACTGCTCTCTAAAGTAATTCAGAGCAATTATTCCTAATCAAAATAAAATAGAACATTTTTCTCTTTTTGATTGCTCTCTGGGGCCTGAGCTCTGTACCCTTCTCACTGTACAGTCATAAACCAGACACAGACTACTGCAGCAAAACATTTTGCACAATCATGTTCCATAACCTCTATAGCTGAAATCAAACCAACTTCCTTTCAAACAGGACACAATATGAATTAATTAAAAGTCTTAAAAACATTGGGCTTCTCTGGGGAGATGAAACCACTTGCCATTTTGATAATATTGTTATTACCTAAAGGAAATGTTATGAATAAGAAGATACCACAGAGGAATTGTAAAATAACAGACCTCCCTGATCCACCATCTGATATGTTACTTGGTATCCTCACTCTGTCTTGCTAATTACATCACTGGATATAAAATGAGCCTAAACTCATTACATTAAACTGAATTTGACAAAGTGCTCAACACTCATTATATCTCTGCTAAAGGAATAATACCAGCAACTCAACTCCAAAGAGCTGTATTCAAATTTCAGCCCCACAAAACTACTGCAAACCAACCTGATAAGCAAAGTTAATGCATTTGCTCTGGGAAGAAAAATGACTCAGTTACCATATCACTAAAATAAAGTGATTTTACCAAATAAATTTTGTATTTTATTATTACAATCATACCACTAAGGATCTTAAAAGTAAGCAGTTAGTAGTATTTCAGACAGCTGGTTTATGAGCAGAAGATGCATGCAATGCACAGTGTCTGTTAACAAATACCCCTAAGGTGGGAAGTCACCTGGCTGACCTGATGTACAGTATGGTCCTCTTTTCTTCTTATATATTAAAATAACAATACTTCCAGCTTGTGTGTTCAGTAATTTCAGCTAAATTGTGAAGAAACAAATTCTAATGCACTTACCAATGTACTTGTACTCATGGTCATCCAAGGATAGCAAATAAGAAAGGCTCTTTTTGACTCTACCAGAACAAGAGTTATTTCAAAACAAGAAACATCATCAAATAAGGAGTTCTAATACCATGTTTTCAACTCTCACATAATGAGAAATTTTTTTACCTATTACCTTTTATATAACATCCATCTGATCTTGTGCTTAAGACTTACCTTGAGCTGAAGGAGGTGGAATGCTTACAAGACAAGAGTTTTACAAGAGAAAAGAGCAGCAGAAAAATTGCTGAGGGTAAATGGCAAAAATTCTGCTGTTAAAAGAAGGAAAGCAACCACAAGAGCAAAACAAAACCATGAAGCTACAGACAGCACATGGGATAAAACAAACAAAAATTGTTTAACTAAAATATTACTGAATTCTCTTTGTCTTCCTCTAATATGTCAGGTCTCAGGAAAATTCAGTCTCTCACAATAGTAGTGAACTTTTCAGAGGAGAAAAAGGAAAACAGATACTTACGAAATTGTTGGAGTTTATTCACATAATTATTAGCTTAAAAATGCATGTATAAAAATATATTTCATGAAAATTCACCAGTATTACTCCAACAGTATATACCATTAGCAGATATTCCATACCAATCCTTTTGATAGTTTTGCTTATTTCATAAGTTAAAACCAAAATCCTTTATTATAATTTTATAAGAGATTTGCTTCCTTCAGCTAAGTAATTTTTCTTCTGCTTCCCATCTGTGTGTCCTTATAGTCCTTGTTACTCAGTTAGTGCAGAGGTCAAAGATCAAGATGAAAATTCAGCAGATGGAAATCCTTTTGCAAAGGATAGCTGTTCTCATCTAGCACGAAGTGGCTTCTGATTTCCAACAAATAGGATGCTTCTGTATCTGCCAGCAGTGAATGACACAGATCTGCTACTATTGTGCTGTAGGTTATATCTGAAGAGGGCACTGCAAAACACAAAACAATTCAATTTACACTTGATTTTCACAATAGCACCTAACATTCGAGTTCTACCTCCATGAAGCTCCATTGAATTACTGCAAGTGAAGTTCAACATCTGAATAGAAAATTAGCTTTTATTTTTAATTACTTTTAAAAAACAATGAGCTGAGCCTGTTTCTCATTAAACTGTTAACACCTGTGAATCACATAAAACACCTCAAGTCAAACAGGATGTATCAAGTGAAGCTTGTCTGAAACACAGCTCAGTGTTTCACATCATGAAAACAGGCAAGCTACTTCTAAACGCTCCTAGGACATTTTATTCAATAACTAAATAGATTATAAGGAATCTATTTAGTTATTTAATATTTAGGTATATAACTACAACTACTTAGTTATATAACAGGTATTCACACCATCTCACCTCCTGTTGTTGCAACCTCTCCTCTGCAATTCTGAGTTTGTCAGCCACTGAAATATTCTTTGATGTTGGTAGCTTAGGGGTTTTTTAAACTGTCAATGATTTAAAATTTTGCTTCTGTTGTGAACTTTGCTGCCTGTTTCTATCACAAGGAATTAATGAATCAGTACCTACTAATCTCTTCAGCCAGTCTGCAGGAATATTGAGGAAGATTTTTTCCACCAACTCAGACACCACATGAACATAAATTTCGTATCCTTCACCTTCTACAGTCATCAGAGCAGGCCTAGATCAGAAAACAAAGTTTCATGAAACTCATCTGCTATGTTTTTTGTTGAAGCAAAAGTTTAGAAAGCACTACAACTTAATCTTACTCTGCAATGTAATACCAAGAAATAAAAAAATGAGAAAATATCTCTGTACTCATTGTGTCAAATCTGTAGCACTGGAATCAGTTTGAGCAATAAATAAGGAAACAGCCTTAAATTGAGACAGGACACCCAGATTAGACATTAGAAGGAATTATTTTACTGTTAGGATGGTCAGGACTGCCCACAGAGGACGTGGTGGAAATGCAAAGCAGGGACATAATCTTAGGTGCATCACTTGGAATTGTACCATCTGTATCAACATCACTCTGTATTATCTGTCTTAATACATCACTTTATAGCCACAGAGTACCAAGGTCTGTAACAAATACCAAATGTTTTCACAAACCACTGAACAAATAAAAATCCCTGTTTGGAAATACTCCCAAGGTGATGCTTTCTTACTAAATCGATCAGAAGAAAATTTCAGTGCAAAAATGTCCGTCTTTTCTCTGAAAATAAATGGACACAAATTCTACATCTGGATGTGCTCCCGTGCTGAGAATACAAACACTGGAAATCCTTATCATTTTTCTACCATCTTTTGTGCAGGAGGAAATTGAGGTCCTTCATGCCCACTGAGATTTTATAGTCTTATGGAAGATTGGCAGAACCTTCTCAGTTAAGAAAAAAACCTTTCTGCACTTAATCCTCCCTCACAGGAAAATAAATAGCACAAAGATGCAAGATTATTTTGCTTAGAGGAAAAATCCTAAGTATTACCTGGTTAGATAAATAGGATATTTAAGTCCTAGTTCTTTAAGTATTAGTATTTAAGTCAATGATTCATTAAGCTCATTATGAAAGATTTTAGAAAGAATTTGAGAAAAAAGATAGAAAATTTACATATTCTAGAATTCTATCACATCCATGGTTGTCTCAATAAACATTCTCTAGCTACATGTCTTTCTAGTCACAATGATAATTACATTTCAAAGCCCAAGATAAATGTGAGAATTGAACAATTAGTTAATAAAGATGTACCTACATCAACTGGATCCACTTAGCTTATTTTCTCTAAGTGTGAATATATGTGTCTCACAGTGCCATCTGGTGATAACTCACTATCTCTGCTCTCCAAGAGTGTTTATTGAAAACATTTGTCAATATTATTTCTGCACAGATGAAACTGACTAATCAGTTTAAAAACATGGTTCTGCATTCACGACATTTCCAGTTTAGGCTGGAACAAGATTCTCAAGGAGTTTTCCTTTGGTCCTCAACCTTTATTCCATCTTAGCTTTATCTGACACAGTACTGGGTAAACATCATTCCTGCATGATACAGTAGTCAAAGAAATTAAAAAGTTAGTTTTAAACGAAGAATATAATGTATAAATAATGACAAAATAATACAGCAATTCAAGAACAACAAATTGAAAATTCATTAGAGAGACAGGGATTGCTAACCACACCTTAAAGAATTTCAGATATGGGGGATATTAAAAAGGAGAAAGTTTACCACCCTAATAATACACATTACTTTGGCTCTATTTTGTTTACCTGTAGAATGTTTTTACTTTGCTGTATGGCAGACATCTAACACATTGCTTATAGATCATGTTCTCATCTGCCTGTAGTTCCAAGCCACATCTGGCACAACCTGAATAAGTTATCATCGGCAGAGAAGCCAAAACACCTTCCAGTGAAGTGTCAGCAGAGAAGATGAGTTGCTTGTACTGACCAGTGGAAATGGTGAACTTCAGTTCCAAGATATGGGCTTTCACCTGAACCACTCCTACAAAAACAATTCAAATATTAATTAAGCTTTATTTAGAACTGAAAGGAAAATCAATGGCTACAGCTGATTAGAAACCAAAACTGCTATCAAGAACTTTCTTTGTTTTTTCCTCTTTGTTAACACATGCTCAAATATTTAGAGATATTTTATTCAATGAAAAATCCTGGTGGCTAAATACTAGTTTAAAATGCATAAAAGTAGTACGTTTTCAGGTACTGTATCAGTAGATGCCACTATAGAAGCTGCCTGAATAAGAGATCAAAATTGTGTGAAGAATTTCCAAGTGATTTTCTTCCCCCTGTTTCAAAGACACTGAAAAGCACAGCTTTAACAACTTAGCTTTTTACTATTTATAGCATTAAACTGGAGTTAAATGCTACAAGAAAAACTTTAATTACTTCTTAGAATTTAACACCAACCATAACAATCTTCTAGATTCATCTGGGAGAGTATGACTGTGTAAAATGTCTTCTTTGTCCTTTTGTAAGAGGTTTTCAATGGCAGTTGCTATTTTACATTAGAGAGTTTTTGAGAAACACTGAAACTTTCAGTAATTAGTCACATCATTACTGGACTGGCTGGTGTGGACAACAAAAGTCAGCATTTCCCTCAGTGTTCCAAAGTTGTCTTTGCATGGCATCACACACCACAGGTATCTCTCTGCTGGACTTATGGGATGAAGGCTGCATTCAGTTTGGCCAAGTACAGGGCAGCAGTCTCCAAAATGAATTCAGAACCAGACCTGGACTACCCTAAAAAAACAACCATCTTACCTCATCAAGAGAGCATCTATTTTGTCTACTCATGCATGGCACAAAAGCCATTACAGAGCTATGGATAACATTTACCTGAGCATTTTTCTTCCAGGAGTGCCGAGAGCCTTGTCAACTCCATGAGGGATGTTTGACTTTTCTGAAACTTCTCTCTAAATTCAACTGCCCTTTTGTCATCATCAAACAAGCACTCACAGGATGACCACGGAGTTGTGTGCAGTTCCAAGTCACCTGACACAGAACTACACTGGACCAAAAGGTATTTGAAGTCCCATATGTGGTCTACAGAACAAAAAAGCAAACAGAAGAGTTTACTTTCTACACCATGGTTAATTTACAGAAAGCCAAGGTCACTTACAAGACTGAGAAACAAATCAGAAGACATTCTCATATGGTCAGCTCTGGCAACTTCCTTTTAACTGTGATGACATGTAAGGTTTAACTGTGATGAAACTGTAAGGTTTCTCCTTTCCCTATAAACTTTGCATGAGTTGTCCCATAACAGAAATTTCATTTCATCTCTACCAAATTCAGTGGTCAAAACTTAGTTGTCGACAACTAAGCCTTTTGAAAAACAAACCAGCTCTGAAATTTGTTGTCAACTCTAATGCTGGCAATGTCTCAGAGAAAAAAATATTCATATTATTAATCAACTTCCATTTTTTAATATATCCCTGTTTTTAATCTTCTATCTCCACAATTATCAATTTGACAAACTTAGTTTAACTTTTCTTAAATAAACAAGACTAGGAATTACTAGTAAAAATTGGTAAAATTTGGTAGGAGTCACTGCTGAAACACAGTCTATGCAATTCTTGCAAGAGATGCTTTTACTTAGTTACAGCTGGACTTGATCTCAAGATCACCAGGATACAAAGCCTGACAAGTAAAGTGGAAAGCAGAATTTTTTTTAAAAAAGTAGTAGAAAAAACCCAGTAATTCATGCTAAACCAGATAATGATAAGGAAGACCCAGCAAAACTGGTAACACAGTTAATGCTCATGGATTTTTACAGTAACATAACCAGGCACTAAACAAGTGCATCTTGTATATAGATTCAAGTTTTTAAATATTTATGCCTTCTCAGTCTTCTGAAGTGCATTCAACACTCATATATTTTTATATTTACATAACCAGGCACTACACAAGTAAGTGCATCTTGTATATAGTTTTTATTTTTTTATTCAAGTTTTTAAATATTTATGCCTTCTCAGTCTTCTGAACTGCATTCAAATTCTGCTGCTGATGGCACTGCTTCTGAACAGAGGAGATATGTTAGAATTAGCACAAAATACATTACCCCTCCAAGGGGACTATTTAAAGGTTGAATGGATAAATGTCACCAGCAGAATACTTAAAAGGCACTAACAGCATCACAAAAATCCTTTCAGACCTACCAATAGGTACAAGGACCTTACCTTTTTTCCTCTGAAGCTGGGGGTACCAGGTAGCCCCTGCTCCCCACAGAACCATCCTATAGTGTTGATCTCTGTTCTGTTCTACTGTTAGAATAATTTTTTTTTGGCTGCCACCTCTGTAGCTGTACACAGATTCTAAAAAAGATTGAAATTACATTAACTTCTACAGTAAAAAGCATATAAGCATACAAACCCCACGTGCCTCAGTATTACAGTGAAATCATGGTGTTATCACATTTTTCGCTACAATTAAAAGTGAAGAAGAATACATCTACAATTTCCTCTGGACAGAAAATAACCTGCTTTCTTCTGCAACAGGAATCTAGTCTGAGGGAGTGCATAAAGCATATTAATTAACTTTTATCCATCTAAGTACACAGTAATTGGACAAATCCCTTTGAAGCAGGAGGTATCTAAGCATCTTTCAGCTCCCATTCATCCTGACTTGTATTGAGTACAAAGAAGTTGTAATTACAACTGTTGTAATTGGAAGTTCCCATATCTTCTGTAGAATACAGGGGAAGAAACATTTCTCTATAAGTTTTGACATTAAAGAAAACTCCAGGCACAAGGTGTACAAGGCAAACTAAAATTATTAGTAACAGTACATACGAATCTCTACACAGCTCTTATCCAGGATACTCCATGTTTGTTTCAGTTCCACACTAAAACTACAGCATTTCTCATAATTAATTTTTGAACAAGAACACCTGGATAAAATATCTAACTAATATCTAGTTGCAAGATTTATATACTCGAGCAAATGATGAAGATTTCTATCTTCAAAATTCTGCATTTAGAACTAATAAATATGCTATTGTGATGTGTGAAATTTGTATCTCACTAGTTCAAGACAGTGCAATGTGATCAAATTTTTGTGCAAAGCTTGAAATCAAGCAGTGAGAAACATTTCGCCTTGCCAAATTACTATTTAAGTTCCACCTACTGCAGAAGTTGAAGTCCAGTGCATGAACTTACCTGTTAACACAGAAATATTGATAATTTTCAGGATGGAGTGCACCAAAGTACTTGGCTGGAGCTGATCTAGCTGCACATACCGAACATCATCCAGTCTCTGAACTTGTCTTTGTGGAATGTCTCTGAAGTGTGGAAATTCTGATGATATGTATGCCAATAAGCCATGGAGAACACCATCATCCACCAGAGGATAAACTTATATGGAAAAAAGGCAAAGTCACATACTGCTTTTTATGCTTAGAAGTATAAAACATGTGACTTGGAACACGTTTACACTGAAAAAAATCAGAACAGTTTTAGAATAATTTTAAGGTAAGAAATTCCTGAGATATACAACACTTGATCTGAAATTGAACTGTACTTCAGGGTAGTATCAAGAGGAGGCAGATGAAGTTAAGCTAAATGCAATATTTTAAAATACACCAAAAAAACCGTGCATCATCGTTTGGTAAGAAGAAAGCTGTTCTTGATCATTGACCTCAGAATGTGCTTTAAGAGCTGGCATCACAATAGTGGACACCACAAAGACAGGAAGAACAATGGTGATACTTCCACAGTTCTTTCCCCTCAGTCTCCAACCCTGCATGGCCTGCAATGAATCACTTTCCCAATGAATCTACTTACTCCATTCTGCAAAAAAAATAATCCTCATGCAATCTCAGACATCACATGGACAGGTCCTGGGATAACTGCTCTTTCCTACATTAAACTCTTCTTTTTTTTGAGTTCAGACTGGTAGCCACCAAACTTTATCACGATCTCCACATGCCTATTGATGTCATCTCCACATCTTGTGCTCAGGTGCTCCTGTCATATTTTTCTATTGTGTTTTGTTGCACACATTTCTATTCTACCCCATGTGTGAGGCATTGCCAGCAAAATGGAGTAATTGAAATAGGTCTTTTACTGGGATTTTCATAGCAACTTATGCACTACAACCTTACATTTTTCTGTATTGAGAGCTGAGTAGTTCCCCAGATTCACTAATTGACTGGTAAATGTTGACTGAAGCATGACCTCTCCACACCAAGGATTCTCACACATTATTATATCTGCAAGAAAAAAAGCAACTTTATCAACTCATGTGTTGACAATATTGAAGTGTATAATATTTTTCCTGACTATATAATTGTCTTACATACAGATGTGTAAGGCACAGGGTTTGAAAGAGATCACTTGGAAACACAGTGATTATTTTTTTAAATCTACCAACACCATTTACAATGAGTTACTAAAATTTTCTCATTAGTTTGATGTAATTCTTACATTTATTAGCCCCCTAGCTGACACTGCTTAGGTCTGGTTTGTAGTAGCACTGGTACTTTTCAGGAACAACTGTTTTAAAACACTGACACCTTACAGAATAGCCCTGACTCTCCATGGCTGTATCTGAGGGCAAACTTCCATGGAATAGCCAATATTTCACTGGCAGGATGACTGAGAACTCAAATGATGTAAGAGATATAAGAAAGCAACTTACAAATCCTTAACCATAGTTCTAAATTACTTGTTACATTCTTCTACTTTAAACAGGCATTTTTAAGATCCATGTTTTAAAAAGGCAAACAAAAGAACTCTCACCTGTAAGCAGTATGACATCCCCAGGAAACACAGTAAGGGACCAAAACGCAGCACCACGCCACAGCACCACCTTTCTCTCAATTTCTGACTGGTCACTAACAACAATTGTTGCCACAGGAACTTTACATGAAGATTTTGGTTTAGTCTTCTTCTGTATCTCTTTGATATGACAAGGATGTACAACTGTGACCAAAATATTGTACTTTTGATTTTTGCTGCAGCAATTCTTAAGTAGCGATAGTTTCTTTTGGAGTTTCTTGAACTCTGCCATCCTGTCTGGATCCACTCTCACCCCAGAACCAGGTGGAGAAGAATTCAGTTTAGCTCTCTTGGATTTCAGCTGTGTTTTAAATGCTGACTGAGAGAGATGAGAGGAATCTTCATGCTTGCGGGGTCTTTTAGAAGAGTTCTTGTGAGAACAGTTTCCTTGAGAGCACAGTATTCCAGAGCTCAATGGCTCAATATGGATTTCATTTACAAGTTGTTCAGCAGCAACATTAAGTTTTTGAAAATTTTCTGCATTTTCCTGAGCACCTTCTTCCTGTTTTGTAGCTTTAATTGAAACATTTTCCCCATCATCCTCAGAACTAAAAAGTTCAAGAGAACTTGCATCCTCTTCCTCATATTCACTTCCAGGCACAGTAGTAGTACATGTTCCAACACCAGAATCACATTGGATGTGATCATATTGTCCTTCTTCAGCTCTTCTGCCTGCTTCTATTCCTGATAGTTTTACAATACTTTCCTGCATCTCATTCTGTGCAAAAACAGCCACCTGACTCAAAGTCACTACACTACGAAACTCGGTGTCTGCTGACACTGCAAAGTCTTTACAGCCATTTGGTTCTTTTGGATTGAACTCCTGACTTTTTTGGAAAAGCACATCCATACATTGACTTAGATGTTCATGATGCTCACTTCTGTGAGCTGCCTGAAGTCCCACAGACTGGATGCTGACCTGCTCAGTGCTGGCAACCAAAGCAGAAATGTCAGAGCTGCTAATTTCTGAAGGAGGGGCTTTTCTCTCAGTGAGCTCTGGGCAGCAGGCACCTGGTGGTTTCTCTTGTCCAGCTGATTCTGCACAGCCCTGGGGCAGCTGTTCATCTGCAGCCTGATCTACATCTGCAGGTGTAAATCTATCTTTGGATTCTTCACAATCAGAACAAGTTAAACTCGTGCTCTTAGGCCTGCTGGCACAAGTCAGTGCCACAGGGGCAGGAGATGGCAAATCTCTTCCTTCTTTTGCCATGAACCTGCCCTGCTGAGCTCTGTCCCCACTGGAAGGGACCCCTGTGGGTGTGGAGCTCTGTGCCCGGGGCACCGAGGGGGCAGCAGCACCCCGGAGCTTGCCAGGAACAAACGCAGGGCTCTCGCACAACAAGCGCAGCTCCCTCCACTGCTCACCAGCAGGGGCTGAGCTTTGCTCTGACCCCTCCCCTGGCCTCGGAATACTGGGGGCTCCCACAAAAATATGAATTTCAGGTCTTTTTGACATTTTTGCCTGCTGTGTAAGTTTGACTATAAATATGGTGGTTTATGCAAAAAGCACAATAATAAATAGTAGCAGATGTAAAAAAAAAAGGATTACACTTTTTCTTTACAATTTTAAAAATACCTAAAATTCATGGGAATATTTAATAGTTTAACTGCTAAAAACACTACTTAACTACTTCAAGCATAAAAATAGATGTACAAAATCTATAAAAGGGAATTATTAAAAAAAATATTTAGCATTTATTTCTGTCAAATTTGCCCAGAAAAATAAATTTACAGCAACATTTAGTTTCTGATTCTGATACATGGGAAGTTAAAATTAAGTTTCATTATGGACCTATTTGTCTTCATTTACTATTGCTAATTAAACAGTCAAATGTGACTTCACTATTCACTACTTGATTTTAACTCATCTTAAATAGATGTAAGACATCTTCACAGCATAGTTAGATCATTTCATCTCCCAGAAAATTACAGTTTCAACTAAATGATTAAAACACTAGAGCTATTTAAAGTTTGCTAGGAATGCAGTATTTTACATGCTGTTTTGGCATGAAACTGTTTCAGGCTATTACTGATAAATAATAATTATTTAATAACCACTAAGAGGTCAGTAAAGCTTGAGCAGGTGATTTAGGATTAGCTTTAATTCATTTATGTAGTATCAAACTACTCAACAAATTACTAGCTTTTCTAGCTAATTAAAAATAAGCCCACTTACACAGCACACAAAAAGAAGGCCTTTTATTTTTTAAAATATCTGCTGTATAATTATAATTTTAAAATATGCAGAAACAGCTATAACTGTTCCTTAAAGTGCTGATTAGAGCTACTTGTTTTGGGAGTGCTGTTGCTAACAGAAGTTGCTTCAATAGGCAATTCTGCAGATGTAGAGAACACCAGAAAAAATTTGGGAGCTAATCCAGCTGTAAATAGAAGGAAAAGACCATTGAAACAAATGCAGCATTGAAAAATATGCAAGTTTTTCATTTAGCACTAATTGAATTAGCAACTGTTTTCCTAACAACCCCACTAGGGGTCAATAAATCTGCACATTCATAAGGCTCATTGTAACATGGAAAAACCATAAACACCCCAGAAGAGTGATCTCTGGTATGTCACTGCTGTCACTAGAAAAGCAACATACATCACTAAAATTAGATAGGGCAAAATACAAAGAAGCTACAAAACCCAGAGACTAGTATTGATCACTCTTATGCTCATAACAAAATAAACACCACTTAAATCATTGGAGTGTTCAAACTTCAGCAGTTGTACATTTAAATTTAATCCCAGAAAATGGTAACTTTTAAAGGACAATATCCAAAGCTGTGAAAGCTTGGAGTTATATAAAGAATGGTAACATACAAATAACCAGAAGAATAGAATTTATAGTCAATATTAAAGTAGTGGATCAGGTAAGGGAAAGACTAAGCAAAATTATAGCGAGTTTAAATCCCTAAAGAAGTGATGTTTTGTAAATAAAAGGCTACCAATGCATGATGTAAAAAGCTTAGTAACAGATTTGTGACAAACAGAAAATGTTGCTATCTAAATGTTACAGTTCAAATGACCTTAGTAAATGTCCAGTTATATAGTAATTTATCAGCCCCTCATTTTAAGTATCACTTCTCTTTTGCTTGCTGACATGTTTAAAGGTTTATAAGTTACACAAAAATTCTCAAAGTTTTCCTTAACTTTCCAGTTCTGTAACTTCTCTAAACTTAGGATTTGCTTTGCTGATTCACATTTTGCAGTGCCACTACCTTAAGGCCAGGCTGGATGGGGTCCTGAGCAACTTGGTCCAGTGAAACGTGCTCATGGCATAGGGTTTGGAACTTGGTGATTTTTAAGAGCCTTTCCAACCTGAGCTGTTCTATGATCCTATGATCACGCCAAAGGAATTGAATATTGATGTTATTTAATGTATGTTTGAAATGAAAGCATAGCTAATATTTTCAAAACATAAATTACCTTAGGAATGGCAAGTGACCTCTGCCAATCTCCTGATTTGTGTAACAGGTCCACTACTAAATGACCTACTTTGCAAATTCCAAGTGACTTTTTGGGTCAGAGATGCCAAACTCCTTCCTGTACCAGGAATCACCAGTAGCTAAAATAATTTAAGCCTGTAAACCAGAAAGAAAAAAAAATAAGTTTACCTAAATTCTCTGTACACAAAAGTGTTTAAAGAACTGTTGCTTTGCTGCTTTAGAATAGAATTAGTACTCAATGAGTTTTGTTAGTTAAGTTCTACACCTTGTTATAAATAAAAGTCTGAGAGAACAATTCAGTTCAGATTTGAAAAGGTGAGGAAAAAAACTACCAATATTTTGGTAAAATTCTACTGCCACAAAAAAATCCACTTTATACTGTAGTTAAATTATCTGTGGGCAGACAGTAGGTTAACTAACTACACAAAAGATAACAAGAGCTAAAACTCCTGAAGAGACAACTGAAACCTGAATGCACATATCCATTATACCTGTTAATTATTACACCATTTCCTAATTTGTGGAAAGGTGCTCTACTCCTAGCAGCCAATGAAAGCCAGGCTTTTTATCTCTGAAATGGTCAGAGTCTGATTGACGGGTCAATGATCTATTAAAAAACAGTAACTACATCAGCAAGTTTTACACTTGCAAGGCACTGCAACTGAGATTTAATATACAGAAATATCTTATGCTACATAGTGTATCTCCTCCAATCTAAACAGTAAGACAGGAATTCTACATTTAAAGGTTTTTAAAACAAACTGTCATTAACAGATTGTTAATCTCTAGCGATTTGCTGCACATAGAATGAAATTTAAAATAGCTTTAAAAATCCTCTTCGCTCTAGAAATGTTCTGATGCTACATACATGACTTTAAAGCATCCCTAAAACACCCTAAAAATACTCATCAATTTTATTAATAGTATTCACTCTCCATGGTAATTATTAAGCATTACGCCAAGGTAATTTAAGAGGGTGACACAGCTTCAGCTTCCTATAATTCCTGAATATTCAAAGTAGCCACATGCCTAAATCTCTGTTTTGAGAAGTTACATCCAAATAGTCTCAATCAAGTCTTTACTCAAGCCCTGTACACTAAAAGTAAACCACACTAATTCAACCTCCAGTTAAGAGTTTCTTTATGTCTGTTACACACTACAAAGTTTCTAACTACAAATAAAATTACAGAAATAAAAGACAGCAATGCATCAGAAGACAAAGAACTATACCAATATAATGCCAAAGTGTACTTTACCCTCTAGAAAGACTAAAGTTTTAGGAGACAAACAATGCATTCTTTTAACTTTCTTATTTGATTTGCTGCAGCTTGATGAACATCCAAAATGCTAAGTGGTTAATGACTTGATCCCTAAAATATGCAAGAAAACATTATATTGTCCTTTACCTGCTGAAAAGCTGGCCCAGTAAGTAATAAATACATAAAGTAGGATATTTCTTAAATTCTAAATTTTAACTTCTATTGTGGACTTAATCCTCCCTTATTCACATACTTCACTTTATATGCCTCCTACATGTAGTATAAAAAATTAAAGAACTGATTCATCTACCTTACAACGGAGTAAACTGAATTATTCATAGCCATCTTCAGAGTATTTGGTTTCAGCTCAATTCAAGCTGTAGGGTTGTTTGGCTGGGCTTTTCTCTTTTCTACAACTCAACCCATCTGATTGTGAAGTAGAAAATCTACTAAGACAGCTGCCAATCAAAGAGAAACCAGAAAAACTACTTGATGCAGAATTCTGATTACACCACAGGAAACTCTCCTGGCACTTTCACCATGCTGCTCAAATCTCCACCCAAAATTCTTCCAAAAATGATCTTTTTAAAAAGCCAGGTACTGCAGCTGTACAGTAACTTTGAAAGAATAAACAGCAAGCAGTGTAGTAACAGTTTCATACACTTAGAAACTGAAACAACTCTGGGATGAAGTGAGGAATGCATTACAGTTTGCTTGCAACTTGTGCAAGAAAGAGAAGGGTGATCCTTCTGCCAACAACTCCTGCTGGCACTGCAAGTGAATCAATACATCAGCAACAGCACCTATCTACTAAAACAATAAGCTTGGTCCAAATACATGAGAGGCACACAATGGAAGATAAAAACTGACAGAAGAACTCAAGCTAAGCACCTTGTAGCTGAAGCAAACTTACTCTACATAAGAGTGAGGGATGTATCATGTGGGCTTAAAAGAAGATATGTGTAAGTGAATGGCAGTTCAAGGAGATTTACGTGGGTTGCAGTAGGCAAGGCTGGTGGCACCTAACAAAAACTCAAGGGAACACACATGTGGGAGAACACACACAGAAGAACTGAAGGGAACACAGATACATGAGAACACACACAGGGGCAACTGGGCAAATGAACAGGTCTTAATTCTGTCATCCCCTGTCTGGTGATTGTTACAATCACCAAATACCTTTTATCTCAATTTTAATACAAGGTTTCAGGCAAAGACTGTAGTCCTGTCCATAAATGACCTGTCTAACCAAATGCAATTTTACACCAGGATGATCACTTGGCTCACATAGTAACACTGTGCTAGCACATGGAATATTGTGCACAGACACTGCTGCCAACCAGACCTGGTGGTATAGCAAGAACCCTGCTAGCTGATATCAAAATTGATGAAAATCACAAACCTTCATTTGCATACAGCAGTATCTGTAATTAGTATAAAGTTACTTTTAAATGAGGTACTTAGTTTATTATTGACCACAAAATAATTTCCATTAGTACTTACTATTGAAGTTAAATAGCAGCATTCAGTATTTAGTTCTTCTCACTGGCTATTACCAGAGGACTACAACACCATTTGGACTCAAGATAGGTTCAGCTGGTTTGCAAATACATAAAACCTGTATTCAGCAATACCTAGCCATAAAACACAAGGTATCCAATTTTTTTTTCCTTATTTGGAACACTTTCAGTAACAAGATGACTTCTAGAATACAGAACACCTATGGTTTAGGTAAACCAATAGAAACCTTCCTAAATGCTCCTGCAGCAGCAGGGAAATAATTTAAACCAGAAAGCAGCCTTCTAAGCAGTTCCACAGCCTGACACTGTAAAACATGTTATATCAAAATACTGAGTAAGAAGAGACAAGTTGTTCTTCATAACTATTACTGAACTATTAATATACAAAAAGAAGGCAAGCAATCAAATGGCATTGCTATTGCTAATATTTAATGTGTATCTACTTGCCTGCAGGATCAAGGCCTGTGGTTTCTAAAGTTGTGTTCTAGAAGGAAAATATTTCCCTAGATTTGAAATGAAGACATTTCTTCTGTAAATACAAGCTTGGGTCATAAAAAGGCATCTACTGAGCAGTTGCATCAGCCACTTTATTTTACTATTATTATTTTTTTGAAACGAAATGATGCAAGAATTTGAACACTGATAATATACTTTCAATTCAGCCACTGAGATGGTCTTCATTGTCTTTGAAAATTGGAGTAACGTGGTAGGCTTTTGTGATTAACTTGATAATTTTTTCCTCGCAGCCTTTGTGCCTCTTGAGATGGCCCCTTAAGTAAATTCTATTTATTGATTTTTGTTTTGCAATACACGAAAACATATTATTAAGGAGATAGGAGCATCCAGTGGCTGCTACAAACAAAAGAAGTCAGAAGTTCTAGAGAACACTGACCTTTTGAGTAGAAAAGAAAGATAAAGGTAGAAGGTCAAAGATACACAAATGTGCCATGCACGTTTTGTTGAAGAACACTCATTCCCCAAACCTGTATTTTTGAGAACTATTTAAACAACTAAACTGCTATACCTGCTGTCAATAAATATATTGTTCCATATATTTCAGCATATTAAAATACCTCACAATATCAGAATGGCATCATTGTGGCTTTTTTTAGAAAAACTATTTAGTTTGCAGAAAATATTCCACAGGTGTCATTACCAATGAAAATCTATGTTGGGACTGAAACCTGATAAACAGAGGTGGATAAAGCAATACAGGACCTAAGATGAAAGCAAGGCAACTGGTCAAAGAAACATCACAACAGCCTGATTTCCATCAGATTAAGATTTGTCTTATTAGGACCAGAAGAGATATATATATATATATATATAGAGATATATATATATATATAGAGATATATATATATAAAAGAAATATTTAAAACACAAAGCCACCAATATTATTTTCCCATCTTTACAAAAGCCTTACTCAAAAAAGATGAAGTTTTATAATGAAAACCTGGATGCTGACTGCATGTTCATAGTCAAAAATGGGATATTGTCACTGTTTTGGACAACAGCCATAGATAAGACTGTCCTTTTGCTTTTCTACTGTGGGAGACAGAGTGTTGAAATGGTGTAATTGTTAAGTTTACTATGTAAAGCAATCTACTTTATTTTATTTCCATGTAAGTAATCTACTAGTGCCAGGAAAATGTCTTTCACTCCCCACAAATGGTTAAGCTAGCAATAGACCTTAACAGAAGCTGCACTTCCTCTTGCCTTTAAGACAAGTGGGATACTTCTTATTTGTCAGCATCATGAAACAATTAAAGGTCACTGTCTGTCAACTGAAAAATCAGTCACCCACGCCAAGAAGTCATATTGGAGAACACAAGTCATCATGACAGCAAGTAATTTTCCAAGGCTGTTCAAAACTACAAGCTACACAAGGAGCTCCAGAAGAAGCCAGGTGGCACATGAGCCCACCAGACACCTTCAGAGCAATAGCTCAATCATGACTTCATCTGCTTCATCACTGTATATACAGGGTCCCTCCAGAAGAGCAAACATTTAACCTTGCTGCAAACATAAACAGCAGCAAGTACTTTTTGTCAGGACTGAACCTATGGCACCAGAGCTATCTAATTCCCTCCCCATGCCAATATCCCCATGCATATTTTATCTGTTCCTCTAATGTGCAGCTACATCCTTTATGTGGCATCATCAGTGTATTTCTGTGAGGCTCAACGGAGCTGGCAATCCAGTCCAATCAATGGCTGATCTCCTCAGTACTTCCATATCTCAGGAGATGAAAGCTAGCTTTACACATTTCTACAGATCCAGTGTCTCAAAAGAAAAGTTCAAACACATGCTTTATATGCAAGCATTGTAATTTAAACAAAACTCTTGAGAGATG